AGCTTTCCAGCTTCTAATGCTTCCTTATATTGTAACTTCTAACCGCACCCTTAATCGGCTAATTGCCTGCTGCATTGTTCTTAAAGTGATAAGCACTTAAACCATGATATCTAAGTTTTATATATTTATTCACCCAAACCATATTTGGTATCAATGTTATACCTAACATACTCCCCTTTTGGGTGAAATAAATATATAATACCTTTACAATCTTATCCCATATTTATCACAACTCTCCTGGTGCTTACTGGCACCTTGGGCTTTAGTAAAATTATCAGCTAAATTGTCCTCCGACATACAGTACTCTAGCTGAATCATCTTACTTCTTACAGATTGTCTCACGTTTAGGTATCTTAGATCTGTATGTTTGCTCCTTGTTTTTACTCCAATATTTGTGGCCATTTGAATTGCTGCCTGATTATCTTTATGTATAATTATAGGATAATCTACAGTTATACCTATATCAATTAACATTTGTTTATACATTATTAATTCTGTACATAACAATGATAAACAGGAGAATTCTGCCTCCATAGTAGACAAACTTATATGCTGTTGTCTTATTGACTTCCAGCCTATTAATGTATTACCCAGCATTATGGCTGTTCCTGAAGTCGACTTTCTAGTATCTCTTTCTGATGCAAAGCTAGCATCTGCATAAGCACTCAAAATTAAATCACCCTTTGGTTCTAAATACAATGAATAATTCATTGTCTTTTTAAGATATCTTAATATCCTCTTAGCTGCAATCCAGTGTCTTTCACATGGTGCAGAATTGAATCTAGCCAACTGATTCACGCAGTACGATATATCTGGTCTAGACCAATTACTAATATAACTCAAACTACCAATTAAAGATTGATAAATCACCTTATCAAACTCAGGGCTTTGTTCATCAGTGTTGCTAAACTCCTGACTCATTGGAGTCTTAGCCGGCTTACAAAGCTCCATCTTGTAATCTTTTAGCAATTTGCTTATCTTATCTTCCTGAGATATCTTAAAACCTTTCCGTGTTTTCTTTATATTCAAACCGAGATACTTCTTTATCTCCCCTAATTGCTTGATCTTTATTCTCTTTCCTAATGATGCTATTATTTTATTTGCTTCATCATTAGTTTCAGTTATCAATGCAATGTCATCTGTGAATAGTAATAATAATGATACTTTCCCATTTGTCTCTCTCTTAAACAGACATGGATCGGCTAAACCAGCTTTAAATCCTATATTGTCTAGTTCCTTTACAATATACTGGTTCCATTCATAGCCTGATTGTTTTAGACCATAGAGGCTTTTCTTTAACAACCAACAATCATTATTATCCTTATTTTCACTTTTAATACCAACAGGTTTTTTCATATAAATAATATTTTTTAATGGGGCGTGCAAGTAAGCAGTTTCCACATCTAAATGGTTAACTATATAGTTTTTACTAGCTGCCCACACTAAAGCTGCCCTCAAGGTTGCTGCCTTAAGACTAGGTGCAAACACCTCATCATAGTCATTAGCATTCTGCCTAAAACCTTGGGCTACTAACCTTGCCTTATGGATTAAATTACCATCTTTATCTGTTTTTACCTTAAATATCCATTTGCAGCCAATGGATTTCTTTCCTACAGGTAATTTGGCATTTTCAAACACCTTCATATCTCTTAATGAATTCAGTTCCTTATTCATTGCTGCATACCATCTTTCTTTTTCCTTATTAGGATACTTTTTAATTTCTTCAACAGAATTAGGAACTTGATTAATCTGGCACACTGTGTTAGCCTGGTACCTATCAGGCGGTCTAGATATACGTGTAGTTCTTCTGGGAATTACAGGGCTTACAGGAGGACTTTGTTGAACTACTACCTGTTCATCTTCCTCATCCTGTTCAGCTATTGAATCTGTTTCTTCCTTTATGGGCACTATTTCATCCTGTATTTGTCTCTTTACTTTATTTTTAAAGTTACAGGGATAACTAATGGGATTTCTATAGGATTCAATAATTACATCTTTATTGGCATCCTGTTCTAATTTCTCCCATCCTTCATGTTCTAGAAATTGGGCACTAGCACTACATAGCACTTTAGATGTGCCTTTCTCCCAAAATCTATATGCCCTATGGTTTGCCTGATAACCAACGAAGAAAAATCTTTTAGCTCTATGTTGCCCTTTTTTTCTGAGTTGTGCAGGAATATGCACCCATGCTGGTGCACCAAATGTGTGCAGGTAACTTAGATCAGGTTTCCTGCCATGCCATCTGGTAAATGGTATTTCACCTGTTGTTGTATTAACAACGTTGTTCAATATGTTATTAGCACACATTGTAGCCTCCCCCCACAAAGAATCAGGTAACCCAGAATCATTTAACATTGTTCTAACCATTGCCTGTAGTGTTTGGCCTCTTCTTTCAATAAAAGCGTTATGTTCTGGCCTGTATGGAGCAGACTTCTTATGCTCTATTCCAGCTACCTTAAGTCTGTTCTGGAATTTGTTATTAATAAATTCCGTGCCATTATCTGTCACCAGGGTTATCAATTGTCGTTTAGACTTTCTTTCAGCAAACCTAAGCCAATTGAAAAAATGTTGATATGTTTCAGTTTTGCTTTTCATTAAATAGCAAAACCCATATCTAGAATAATGATCCATAATGCTCAGTATATATCTAGCACCCCCCATACTGGGTTTCTTTGGACCTATTATGTCTGCAAATACTACTTCTAAAGGCTCTTTTGTTTTGAAACCATTTAGCCTATTTGCAGGCAATACTTTGCTCTTATCTTCACAGCAAACATTACAACGCAAATATTTATCACAAGATTTTAACCTTATTCCTTCAGATAACTCAACTGTACGTTTTAGCATTTTAAAATTTACATGCCCCAAACGCCTATGCAATAAATGGATACATTCTTCATGAGGCTTTATATTATTAAATACAGTTTGTGCCTCCCCTTTCTTACTATTATCTAAGACATATAATGTTCCATTTAAAGCTGCAGTTACCCTTTTGTTATCTTTTTCAATTATGCAATTATTATCCTTAAAAGTAATTACATAACCTAATTTATCTAATACCCTTACTGAAAGCAAATTAAACTTTAGTTGTGGTACATACAACATTTTTATATCCTGGTTTATGTACGGACAACGTGCAAAACCTTGACCTTTCGCTTTCAGGTTCCAGCCATTGGCAAGAGATATATGTTGAGAGCTTGTAGACATTTTTATAAATTTTGTCTTATCTCTTGTGATGCAGTGGGATGCGCCACTGTCAACCACCCATAAATTATTCTTCACATCAGAGTTGCTAAACGTGGCTAGTTCAAATGCTTTCTTTGGCTTTTTTACATTCTGGCTTTTTCTCTTTTTGCAGAATCTTGCCAAATGTCCTCTGCCTCCACAATTAAAACACTTTTTAATTGTGTATGCCGTTGAAGATAAATTCTCTTCTTCCAGGTGCTTTACTTTGCTTTGCAGGTTTCTTTCAAGCTTTGAAGATAATTTCTCTTCTTTCTTATCTTCTCTCAGCTCGTCACGCTCACGCCTTCTTCTGGCTTCTTCTAGTAGCCTGCCTGTAATCTCGGTTAATGAGAGGCTTTCTTTTGGCAATACTTCCAACGAAGTCACATAGTCATCATAGCTTTGATCTAATGAAGATAATATTATGTAGACTTGTTGCAGTTCATTAAATATAAGCTCTTTTTCTTGCAAATCTTGAAAAATGCTCTTCATACAGTTTAAATGAACTAACATATCTCCATTCCTCTGAAGATGCGTTCGAAAAAGCTTCCGTGTAAGATTTATATGTGCTCCTACACTGTCCCGAACATAAATCTTCCTGAGGTTCTCCCAGCAGTTTGCAGCATTTTCTTCTCCACGAATATGGACAAGCTGCTGATCACAGAGAGTCAGTCCTATGATGCATAAAGCCTGCTCATTCTTCAGTTTAAAGTCTTGTAACTTTTCTTTATCATCATCATTAGCAGGATCCCAGCTACTCACATCTGGTGGGTTTGCTATTATGTCCCACAAACCTTCTCTGCGTAGAAGTAAACTACATTTCATTGACCATGAAACATAGTTTGTTCCATCCAGCCTGGATATCATGGACAGTTGTGACAAATTTACTTGTGCCATTACTCTTCAGATATTTTGACTATTTTAAACTAATTAAAACAGTTTGTTTTTTACAGTTATGTGCAACTCACACCAACTCTCTCTGCTATATCCTGGTTAGTTAGACTATGCTGCTGGGCCCATAACCAATGTTAGGGTTTGGGGATTAACCCCTAGCAGAGTATTGCAGCAGTAGTCAAGCCAGGCAGCCAAACGAGAGTGGAAGGGCCCCAGAGTATACACACACTGAACACAAACACTGTTTGTAGTTTAAATAGTTTTTAATCCAGTTAGAGTTTAAGCATTGTCATTCAGTCCATTAAGTCATTCACAGTATTTCCATCCAGTAAGACTCACTAGTATAGTCCAAGTTAAGAGTCCTTGCAATATCTTTATCAGCCGATAAAGATATCTTCTCCTCCTCCGGTTTCACTCTCCAGAGAAACAAACGCTGGATATTCAGCAAACAGTAGCAAACAATAACAGTTCAGTCACAGGCACTCACAGTCAGTAATCACAGTTAGTCGCAGCAGCACACAGTAACAGTTACAGCCAGACGGTAACAGCCAGCTCACAGTTAGCTTTCCAGCTTCTAATGCTTCCTTATATTGTAACTTCTAACCGCACCCTTAATCGGCTAATTGCCTGCTGCATTGTTCTTAAAGTGATAAGCACTTAAACCATGATATCTAAGTTTTATATATTTATTCACCCAAACCATATTTGGTATCAATGTTATACCTAACACTAGTCCTCCTGGATTCTTAAGTTTTCCTCAGAGGATTTTTCCCTCCCACGATTACAGAAAGATGATGAATGAAAAGTATGTTGGCGATGATACTAGCAATGCAATGCAGTCATTTCCGCATCACGTAATACTTCATCTGTTTTTAATTGAATTAAACAATACTTTGATATTATTTTTAAATTACTGTTACCTGTTTAGCATAACTAGAATGGAAACAAGTGGGCAAATCTTTTGCTTATTCACAAATTTAAAATGATTGCAATGGCAGTATCAGCAGTGACTTTTAAAACATGGCTTGCCCACAGTCATTAATACATTGCTCATTGCAAATATTTATTAGATGATATCACAAGCCTTACCTTTTTCATTTCTTCTAAACGCTCATTCACATCATTCAGCATCCAAGTATCTTCCCCTCGCAATCGCTTCAGTTCCTTGCGTCTTTCATCTTTTTCATAATTAGCTTTTGCCTAAAGTGGAAAAAGAGATATGGATAATGCAGCAAATTGCAAATATGCATATAAAGTAATGCTTAGCTCTTCAGTGAAATACTCCTTTTGGAATAAATCAGTGATGCTCCATTATATCTCAGAGATACTTGATTATGCCAAATCAATGAAGCATAAGATTAGCCGGGGAGTTTTAAAAGAAAAAGAATTATAGTCAGCTTAATTTTTCTTTCTAAAAGCGGTTATAAGATAATAGGCCTATGAATGCTGAAGAAAAACAAAATTGAATTCCAAAACCTACAGTAAATCATCTCATTTATCAAAGAATATGGTTATTGAAATCTAAATCTTCACAAGCTAAGACTTACTCAAAAATTGTATTATACTCAAAGATACACTCGTATACACACACACGTACACACATATTAATGTGGTATTGCATTGCTTGGAATCCTAGGCTGGCATATTCTTTTTTTTTCTTTTACTGTATATTTGTTTATCATTATCTAATGATAATGCCTCCTAAACTATTTGCTATTGTTATTGTTTCCCATAGCCATTGGAAACATAGCCATTGGAAATAATCAACCAATGGAACAGCTTGCCTTCGGAAGTTGTGAGATCTTCATTACTGGAGGCTTTCAAGAAGAGACTGGACTGCCATTTATCAGAAATGGTGTAGGGTCTTCTGCTTGGGTGGGTGGTTGGACTAGATGACCTACAAGATCCCTTCCAGCTCTGTTTATCTAATGACAACATTGTTATTACACTGTTCTAATTGCTTTAGCCTCCCTAAACTATTTATACATAGGGTTCTCTGGGCCAACTACATACTGTATGGCTTACCTAGTTTAAAATATGCTATTAGCATTTTTATTTTAGAATTTTTAAATTTAAAGCATTTTAATTATTTTTGCAACTTCTCGTGGAAAATATAGTGATTTGGTTGTACAAGACAAAAGGAAGATAAGCAATTTCATGATTTCAAAAAGTGGATACAAGAGGGAATTAAAGTTTTTACATAGAGGAAAGACTTACAAACCTGTAAGATGCTGCAAAACAATGCAACAATAAAATACTGAAGGAGAATTTTGAAAAATGGGAATCGGAAAATAGTAGTCACAGTATCAACAATGTCAATAATGATGTCTATGTCCAAAAGATGCTACTGAAGAAAGAACAGATGTAGAACACATTTTATTGGATGAAAGCAAATGGTATTGAACGTGTTTACAACTGACAAGCCAAGAGAATGACTCACAAAAGGAAGTTTCACTTGATCTATAAAATAAAGTAGTTAAGGTTTTAAATTTTAAAAGGAAAAGACAAATGACAAACCAAGAGAGTAATCTGAATCATTTTTACTATTGGATTTTCCCATTGGATTGTTAAAGCCTTGGAGAATTTTGGCAATGGGACAAAGAAGAAACGAAGAGAAATCAAACCCTATGACAATATTTGTATGAACTACACATTAAGACTATTATAAGTAAAAGGCGAAAGATTTATATGATCTGAAGAGAAACTGGTTGCACTTCTGGTTGCAAGGCTTCGGCGGCGGCAGGAATCCGCTTCCCTGCGGGTCCCTGCTGCGCTTGCCGCTGAGGTACCCCCGATCCAACTGGATTTGGGGGTTGTCGCTGCCCCGAAGAAGCAGCGGAAGACAGAGGAGATCCGGGCAGGGGTCTGGGGATATCGCACCCACCTTCCTCAGCCGGCTAGACTCCTTTTTCCTGAGGTGGTGGAGCGGCTGTCAGAAATGGCAGCCATAAAGGAATCTTCAACTGGATAAGACTGTGCAGGAGGAAGACAGAAGGAGAAGTTTTCTTGGCTAAACCGGGACATTAAGTTACTTTTAAAACACCCTGGAAACCTGACTTTTGGATTGATATATGTGTTTCCAAAAAAAAGTTGCTACAGCGGTGAAAGTGCTGAAGGAAAGTTAACTCCCCTTCCTTACGGAGAAAGCAAATGAGCACAGAAAAACCTGCTTCTTTAAGGTAAAAACAAGCTCTTTGTTATAAGTGGGAAGGAGAGGATTAAAAAAAAATCTTTAAAAACTGATTGGAGGAGACGCTTTGAAGATTATAAGACCAACAACTAATTGCAATAAGGCTTTAAAATATATTTGGGATTTTGCCCCAGGAGGAAAAGTTGCAAAGAGAAGAAGAGGAAATAATCTCTGGCTGTTTGGATTGTTTGATAACTTTGACATTTGCAAATTACTTTAAGACTAAAAACATCTGGGTTGTTCTTAAAAATTTACAATGGCACCATCTGTGGATCAACTAAAAATGGAATATGAAAAATTAAGAGAACAAAGTGGCAAGAATTTATTGGGAGCTGTCTTCCACTTTTTAGAAATGGCGGTTTCTACGTACCAGCAAATACTTGAAGAAGAAGAAGAAGAAGAAGAAGAAGAAGAAGAAGAAGAAGAAGAAGCCATTTTTAATGGACAAAAATGTTTGATTAAGAAAGAAAATAGGAAGAGAGGAAGGAAAAATGAGAATTTAAGATTCAATAAAACAACCAAGAAAAAGAAAAATAAGGTGAAAAAAAGATACAATGTTAGAAAGCAATTGAAAAGAGAATTACAACAGAGAGGGGAAGCTAAAAAGGTGGACGTTAGAAGAGGTGGGGGCAAAAGGATCAGACTGGAGAAGAAAGGGAGGGAAAAGGGGAAAAAAAGCCACGGTCTGAAACAAGATATCTTTTTTATAGATAAAGGATAAAGAATAGTGTATAATTTAAGAAAGATTCTGCAAGAGTACATAAGATAGTATTGTAGTATTTGCATTTGAAATAGTCTATTGGAATACTATAAGATTTAACAAAATATTAAAATATTAAAATGTTTTATAATGATAGATTTCAATATTTAATAAAATATTAAAGAGAATGTGTAAAATGATTAATGCTTAGTTATACTATTAAATAGAATTAGAATTAGAATGGAAATTATATACTTAACTATATTGTAAGTTTATTATTCTTTTTTCCCCCAAAATGCAACATGTAGAATGTACTAAGCAGAATCAGGATAGAAATTATGTATTATTTTAAGTGTTACTTTAGGGAAAGGCATCACACCTTAAAAGTGATTACAGGGGAAATTCTTTGCTAAAGAGAAGAGATAAATAGATGATTGGAAAAGAACGGACACAAGATACAAACATAATGATTTTGAAATAAGATGAAATAAACAAATTATAATTAAGAGAGTGAAAAGAAGGGAGAAGTTATATAGAAAATATAGAATGGTTAATAAGATATGAATGGTATATAAGGTGAGCATGAATTTGATTTAGGTCTGTAAAAAAAGATGTAACCCGGGGCTAAGCCACTTTTCAAAAGAAGTTTTATGTTTTATGTTTTGTGTTTTGGTTAGCTATGTTTTGATTGTGAATTAATAAAACCTTGGAGGAATAAAACTAAAGGGAGAGAAATTTGGAAAAGACATGTATAAATAATAATTAAGAAGGTTTTATCTTTTTATGTCTTGTTTTATGTTCTGTATTTTGTGTGTTTATGCTTGATGGAGAATTAATAAAACCTTGATAGAAAGAAATATAATTGAATAAAAGTGAAGGGAGAAACAATGAGAAATTTGGAAAAGATATATATGTGTTTAAATGGAAATGTGATAATGTGGAACTATGCTTTAAAAAATAATGCTTTATTTGCCTTGTTAAAACTTATAAGTAATTTTGAGAAAGGAGGTTTTATACTTTGATGTCTTATGTTCTGTTTGTTTTTAAAATCAATAAAAAATTGTTTAAAAAAAAAGACTATTATAAGTAAAAGAAATATAAAGTTGGTTTATTTGATCAAAAGTAAAACACATTTAAGGATAACAGATATGGGACAAGGAGATAAACATTTGTAATCTTAGAAGGGGTGAAGAGTTTACACTAAATCTGTTTATACGTGACAAAATTTGGACGTCACTTTATATATTTCTTTTTTCTTTAATATATTCTTACTTTTTTTTCTCTTTTTGTTACACTTTTTATTCCTTTCTATTCTCTCTTTCTTGCCTTAAACCATTAAGTTTAGTTTGTATCAGATTTTACTATTATAATCAAAATCCTTAATAAAAATTACATATATATCAAGAACTAAATGACATAACTTTCTATATAAAAGAAATATAAAAATCTAAATGAAATAAATATTAGTTGTGTCATAGAAGGGATGACAGCTCCACAGATGCACCTCTGACATTCCCTCAGGCACCACTACACTTTTCAAAAAAATATCCCAGAATTTGCAGTTCTCCTAAACTACTTTCTATTTTGATGACTGTCACAAATCAGTGAGCAGAACACAAGTAAGTCTTGTCACTCTCCTTTTCACGTATTTCAATGCTTCTCTTCATAAGGACAGATACACTTTCTAAATAAGTTTTCCATAATTCTCTCTGGCAGTCAGCACTGAGGGAATTCATAAATAGACATCCATTTAGCAATGTCCTTCAATGTTTGGTCCAATATATTCTTCCATTTATTAGATACGATGGTTTCAACTTAAAAATTTAAACAGTTCTTGTTTTCCATAATAACCAAGCAAATAGTGTTATATGTTACGTGATTATAGGACTTTTGCTGAAGATAGGCATTTCTTAACTCAAATTGTGATATTCTGATGATACATGTCTCTATACATTATTCATATTTTTCATTCCTGCCTAGCAACAGAAAATAATGAAACTCCAGATAATAAGATATGAAAAAGATAATATCTGACAGCCACTGCTATTTTGCATAATGTAACCCCACCCCACCCCCCAAAAAGCCACCACCACCCCCAAAAGTTCACAAACATTTTATTTCAGATACCATGATCTGCTCTCTTTTTAGTCACAACAGAAATGTAAAATTAAGGATGATAGAATTATGGATAAGCAACACTACTTACATTTAATTTCATTAGCTCCTACTGGTGGAGTGGCAAAAAAGGGACATCACAAAATAAACACAAACTGATAACATACAATTCTTATTCTATTTGCATGCTTCAAT